TTCATTAAGAAGAGAAGAAGAAGAGATTGGATCTATACCCCGCTGTCCACTACCCGAAAGAGTCTCAGAGCGGCTTACAGACTCCTTTCCCTTCCCCTCCCCACAACAGACACCCCCTGTGAGGTGGGTGGGGCTGAGAGAGCTCTTGACAGAAACGGCTCCCGAGAGAACAGCTCTGAGAGAACTTGTGACTGACCTAAGGTCACACCAGCAGCTGCAATGGGAGGAGTGGGGCACTCAAACCCGTTTCTCCCAGATTAGAGTCCGCGCTCCTAACCACTACACCAAACTGGCTGAAAGCCTTGCTGTCGGGCTGCCTTAGGGTCTGCCCCCCCCTCCCGTTAAACTTGTGGGCTTCATGGGATTATTCTCACAGTGCCTCCCCCTATATAACCCTATCTTTCTCCCACCCCACCAGGCAGCCCCAGAGAGACCCACCTCTCCTTTCTGCAATTTCCCAGGCTCAGAGTCCCTTGGGCCTAGTTTCAGGGAGAGGGAGGGGGAGAGGACGGCCCACGCCACAAAGGAGGGGCAACGGAGGAAAGACTGCCTGGGGACTCTGGGCTGCTCCCCTGTGGCCCCCTTTCCTTCCACCTCCTCGCCTTCGCCCCGGCCGTCTGCCTGCGGCAGCCCCACCTTTTCCCTGCTGCAGGGATGCCGCTGCCGACCTTCTGAAGGTTGAGAGAGAGAGAGAGAGAGAGAGAAACTAGTAGCTGCAGTGGCAGAACTGCAGAGAGGAAGAAGGCAGACGACGGCAAACAAGGCGGCGAGGGGAAGGGGGCAGAGGGGAGGGGGCAGGTCTGCCAGACCCGGGTCGGGACATTCCTGGAGATTTGGGGATGGAGCCGCAGAGGGTGGGGGGCGGGCAGGGACCTCCGCAGGGATGTGGTGCCAGACAGCCCCCCCCCCTCCAAAGCTACCATTTCCTCTAAGGGAGCTGATCCCGCCCACCTGGGTACCTGTTGGAATTCCGGGAGAGCTACCGGCAGTGTTCCCTCTAAGCTGAGTTAGTGTGAGCCAGCTCACGGTTTTTTTTAGCCTCCGGCTCACACATTTTTGTCTCGGCTCAGGAAGGAGGGCTGCAGAGCAGACTCATTTCTGCAGCAGCCAAATCGCTCGCTCGCTCGCAACTTTAAGGCCGGCTGCTCGCAAAGTAGGGTTTTGGCTCACAAGACTCCACAGCTTAGAGGGAGCAGTGCAGACAGTGTTCCCCCAAAGCTGAGTCAGTGCGAGCTAGCTCACGGTTTTTTTAGCCTCCGGCTCACACATTTTTGTCTCGGCTCAGGAAGTATGGGGCTCCGGAGCAGACTCGTTTCTGCCGCAGCCCAATCGCTCACTCACAACTTTAAGGCCAGAAGCTCACAACGTAGGATTTTGGCTCGCAAGACTCCACAGCTTAGGGGGAGCCTTGGCTACAGGCCACACCTAGAGGCTCGTGGCCCTAGAACGGAGGTTTCCAAACTAGCAAATCACTGACCCTGACCTGGGAACCAGGTTTGATTCCTGTGTGTTCCGACACGCACCTTAAGTTCTGCACCAGAAACACAACTCCCGGGCGCACGCGGGCAAGACTCAGGCTACAGCCACACGGGCTTGGGAATGCACGGCTCGGCCGGAAAAGGCTCTGGGGAGAGGAGGCGGCCAATCAGAAGCACATCTTAGTGGGGGGGGGGAAGGCTTCTCTGTTACTGCCATAAGTGGTGCCCCCCCACCCCCCAGTCTGGCATTTACCAGCTCTCTAGCCCTGGTTTCTTTTTCTTTTCTTTTTTTTGATGTTCTGGAATTGTTTTGAAAATAACTTCTTCCTAAATCTTGTCTGGACGCACTTTTGAGAACCTCCATGGTCTCCTTTCTTGCAGCTTGCTCCCTCTGCAGGGCCGGGGGTCTCAGGCCAGGGGTCTCTGGCACCCCCCTCTCATAGCATCATGGAATGTTAAGAGTTGGAAGCGACCTTGCAGGTCATCTAGTCCAACCCCCTGCACTCTGCAGGAGCAGAGCTGAAAGAAGGCCCTACAACATACCCGGAAGATGGTTGTGCAGCCTCCGCTTGAAAACGTCCAGCGAAGGAGCATCCGCCACCTCCCGAGGCAGTCTGTTCCACTGCTCAACCACTCTTACAGTTAGGAAGCTTCTCCTGATATTTAGCCGGTAACGACTCCCTTGTCATTCCACCCACTGGATCTAGTCTTGCAATCCGGAGCAAGAGAGAATAGATCCGCTCCATCTTCTACATGACGGCCCTTCAGATACTTGAAGACTGCAATCATGTCCCCTCTAAGCCTTCTCCTTCCCAGGCTAAACAGACCCAACTCTTTCAGCCTTTCTGGTACTTCCCCCCTTGTGCCACAGAGATGGCTGGTGCGTTTCGGAGGTGTGCACCAATGCTCCCGCTAAGCTCTGGAGTCTTGTGAGCAAAACTTCTGCTTTGTGAGCTACTGGCATTAAAGTTGTGAACAAGAGATTTGGCTGCTGCATAAATGAGTCTGCTCCGGAGCCCTCCTTCCTGAGCTAAGACAGAAATGCGTGAGCCGGAGGCTAAAAAACGGTGTGCTAGCTCACACTAACTCAGCTTAGAGGGAACACCGGTGTGCTCACATCATTTTGGACCGACCCCTCTCCCCGACCCCAGTGAATAATCACAACCACTTGAACCCACCCCTCGTCAAATGAGAAAGCACATGTTCCTCCACATGAATGAAAAGCGAGAGCCGTGTTCTGAGGCCGGCAGAAAGCGCGGGCCCAGGATTTGAGAAGTCAAAACATTCAAAACATTGCAGCAGCACAAAGACGCCGCCTGACGCAACGTGCTTGTCAGACAAGGACATCTGTTTGCTACTCATCACCTTCCTTTGTCTGACTTCTGATTCAGAGCTCTGCATGGCCTTCTTGGAACTGCGTGCGTCTGATTTAGAACGGCACATCTTGTAGCGGCGGCGCTGGAAGGGAAGCTTCCCTGTGCCACCAGGACAGCTCGCAGGCAGACGGAACGGCTCGTCCTCCGTTCTCTGCTGCTCTGAAGCACCACCCCTGCAGACGGCCAGGAGGGGGTACTGTGGCTTTTGAACCCGGGAGGATCTGCAGACCCGGGAAGCCAATCGGAGGCTTTCTGGACTTCTATTTATTCATTTCTTTGGCACATTTACATCTCACCTCTCCAGACAGCTGCTCGAGCAATCAACAAAGCAATAAATAATGGACAATTTAAGAAGTAAATAAAGCAATGATTCAACAGGCCGGACCTCTCCGTAGTAGTTGAAACCAGCTGTCGATAAAACCAGCCTTGAACATCAAAGCGGACCATAAAAACATCGGCAGATGGAGAAAGCAGGCCTGGGATGTCTAAAATGATGGGTTAGAATCCCAGTTCAAAGCCTTGGGGTGGCTCGGTTTTTGCTTAGTGCCCATGTTCCACTAGAGCAGGCGCCAGGCGAGGGCCGAGGGGGGAGGCATCCCGTAGACAGGGGGCCACCACCGGCAGGCCCCTGTTCCAGTCACCACTGCTGCAGGCTGAATGAGACGAACAACACTGATCACAATAAATATAATGAGATCAGACTCCAGGAAATGCGCAGCACCTAATAATTATCAGGCAGTCTGCCACGAAATTGCCGCCCTATCCTTATCACCTCTCGAGACTAAAACGTTGGCAGCTGTTTGAAATGCTTCTGTTTGTCCCTTTTGCCCTTTGAAGTAAACACGTTGGATTTCTTTTTGCCCTTCCTGAAATTCATTGCCCAGCGATTTAAGCTGCCTTTCTCTTGGTTGAGGGAGGCCGCGGGGGATACCAGCAACCCAAAATCTTACCAAGCCTCTTCCCCCCCGCCGCCAATCTTATCCCCTCCGGCAATCCTCAAAGAACTCTCAAGGGATCTCCAAGAAAGGGTGAGCCAGACATCTCCTTCATGATGTCTAGATATGTCTCAGCACGAGCAGAGAAGATTTTTCGCCAGAGTTAGAAATATTCCTAGGGAACGTACCCCCCCCCACACACACACTTAGCTTTAAATTTAGAACCCGAGTGCTACAGTTACAGTTCAGACAGTGATCCGTCCAGGTCATTCATTCTTCCTCACACTTGCTCAAATGGAATCCCTTTGCGCAGCTTTTTACCATTTCTTATCCTGCCAACCTAGCAGTTCGAAAGCAAGAAATTGCATGTAGATAAATAGGTACCGCTTCGGTGGGAAGGGAACAGCGTTCCGTGAGCCTTGGTGTTTAGTCATGCCGGCCACATGACCACGGAAACGTCTTCGGACAGCGCTGGCTCTTCGGCTTTGAAACGGAGATGAGCACCGCAACCCTAGAGTCGGATTCGACTGGCTTTTGAGCAAGGGAACCTTTACCTTTACCTTACCATTTCTTAAGCAACCAGTGACACGACTTTAACTGGAGATTTAACTGGGAATTAAACTGTAAGTAAATAAAAGCGGTGGCTCAGTGGTTAAGATGTTGAACTGCAGGCTGGAAGGTCTGTCGTTTGGCCGTTCGAGACCCGAGTGCCGCGTGACGGAGTGAGCTCCCGTCTCTGGCCCCAGCTCCTGCCAACCTAGCAGTTCGAAAGCAAGAAACTGCAAGTAGATAAACAGGTACCACTTCGGTGGAAAGGTAACAGGGTTCCGTGCGCCTCAGCGTCTAGTCATGTCAGTCACACGACCACGGAGACGTCTTCGGACAGTGCTGGCTCTTCGGCTTGGAAACGGAGATGAGCACCACATCCCTAGAGTCGGATTTGACTGGCTTTCGAGCAAGGGAAACCTTCACCTTTACCTTTTTAAATAAATGCAAGACTTGCTCAAGAGGCTGCATGAGCCGGCGCCCAGCCAGCCTCCGTGTTCCTCCCCGGTGCAATGATGAAGCACCGAAGGAGGGGCTCCCGTTTCTCAGAAGACCCTTTGAGGTCACCCAGAAGTGTTTCGCCGGCTGGGTTTTAAGCCTTTTGCCTTCCTCCTGCTTTTCAGTTCTTTCTAGCCAGGCAAGCGCTCCTACAGCTTTCTACTTACTGAGGTGTCTTCTGAGCAGGACGCAATGACGTTCTCCACAAAAGGGTTCCACTTGATATCGAGCACGTTGCCTTGATGGCCGCAGACCTTGGGGTAGTTCGGCTCAATCCGGCCAGTCTGTTTACAGAAAAATTAAAGCAAGAGACTAAGAAAAGACATGACATAAACAAACAGGTGAAGTGCAATATCAGTTGTTTGCTATGAAGAAAGCTTTGTACGTCCTTCGTTGAGACTCTTTTTCTATATTTAAAAAAAAAAACACCGGAAGAAGGAGAAAGTCCGTTTAGTCGAACGCAGAGCATCAGTGTGCAAATTCAGCCACCCAAATCCTATCTGAAGAAGTGACTCACCAGAGCTCCTCCCCTGCTACAAATTTTGTTAGTTTTTAAGGTGCTCCTGGACTCCGGGTCTTTCCTACTGCACCCAGCTCCTAGGCAGATGTAACCCGGCCAGTGTTCCCTTTAAGGTGAATTAGTGTGAGCTAGCTCACAGTTCGTTGTCGACAGGGGTCCTTTCATAGAAAAAGAGGAGCAGGAGCTCATTAGCGTAACTTATTAGGATGACTCATTTGCATATGCCACACCCCCTGGCATCACCGGAAGTGTGTCAGAAGGCAACACCCACCGCTCAGGCTCCACTGGACTGTTTTGGATTGCTAGCTATTGCGGGGGGGGCGGTGAACGTGCAGATCTGTCCTTGCAGAGGAGGGAGACCTTGTACCTGAATAAAACTTGGTCTTAACGGTGCCACTGGACTGTTCTGGATTGCTAGCTATGGGGGTGGAAGCGTAGGTTTGCCCTCACAGAGGAGGAAGAGCTTGTACCTGAAGGTGGGCCCGGGGGGGGGGGGCCCTGCAACTTACCTGGCTGCTTCTTGCTCCTTGAGGCCTGACTGAGGGCTGCTGGGAGCAGGGGGTGGGGCTTGTTGCATGTGCCTGCCCCCCGGGCTCCTTACTGACGGAGCTCCGCTCCTGTGCGCTCCCGCAGGAAATGACCCCTGGTTGTCGAAGGCTTTCACAGCCGGAGTTCATTAGCTGTTGTAGATTTTCCGGGCTATATGGCCGTGGTCTCTCACGGTCATACAGCCCGGAAAATCTACAACAGCTCGCTCACAGTTCTTTAGCCTCCAGCTCACACATTTTTGTCTCCGCTCAGGAAGGATGGCTCCAGGACAAACTAATTTATGCAGCATCCCAATCGCTCGCTCACAACTTTAATGCCAGCAGCTCACAAAGTAGATCTTTTTGCTCACAAGACTCCACCGCTAAGAGGGAGCGTTGAACCCCCACCGTCCCAAGTTTTGTTGGTGTCTGGCTTAACGTGACTTATTCCCTCTCTCCCTCCCTTCCCATTTCTACGCTGCCTTCCCACTCGATTCAGCATCCCCGCTACATCACGTGCATTCATTTCCTATCTTTTAGCCATTATTCGCTTCCGTTGGTTTCAACAAGAAGAGCCCCGCTGGACCAGAACAGTTGTACACCTGGCACAATTTCGATGACATCTAATCCCATTTCAATTGCCCTGGTGGGCCAGGCAAACAGGGCACAGAGGCCCAGGCCTTCCTCGGATGCCGTCTCCCAGCACTGGCAGTCGGAGGTTTGCTACCTCTGGAGACGGAAGTCCCATACAGCCGCTGTGGCTCGTGGCCAGCGTGTGCAGGGCCAGGAAGAAACACGAAACCGCGTTCTACTGAGTCATCCCGCAGGCCCACCAAGGTCAATATTGTCTGTTCCGAGTGGCGGTGGCTCTGCAGGGTCTCAGGCAGGGCTATTTTGGGGCAGGAACCCACAGGAACGGAGTTCCGGCTGGCTCCCGAGTTGGCCACGCCCAGCAGGAACTCATTAGCATAATAGGCCACACCCAACAGCAGAAACTCATCAGGATTGGCTACATTAGAGGTGTGTGGCCTAACATGCAAAGGAGTTCCTGCTACAAAAAAAGGCCCTGGGTTTGGACAACAAACAAGGTCAACAGAATAAGAAGCAAAAGGTGGGTGTGGCTGGATGACCACACTTCTGGTAACATGGGGTGTGTGGCCTAATATGTTAATGAGCTATGCTCTCGTGGGTGTGGCTGGATATGCTAATGAGTTTCTGTTGTTGGGTGTGGCCTATTATGCTAATGAGTTCCTGCTGGGCTTTTTCTACAAAAAAAGCCCTGGTCTCAGGTCCTTCACATCACCTGCAGATGCTGAGGAGAGAGCCCGGGACCTTCTGCGTGCAACCCCGCCCCAGAAGAGGGAATGAGTTAGGGAAAGGATGCGGGAAAACTGCCACACAGATGCCCGCTTGCTGCAGTGGCGGCTTGCGCATTCCCAGCGGCAGTGAGAGCCACGCAGAGCAAAAACCCCGAGCTCCACGTGACGCAAAGCTCGGGAGGCGGAGGCGCAGACCAGTGGAGAGGAGGCCCGTTCTAATGGGCAAGGAGGCCCGTCGCTAAAGGAAGCTGCCTTGAAGCCGAGCCTCAAAGCGTTACTACCGGTGCTCGGTGTCGCTGCGACAAGCCATCCCCGCTCTTCATCTCTGTCGGGAAATCCGTTTCGACGTTATCCGTGGCAGGTTCCTTTGCGGCAGAGTCTTTTCATCACTGCAGATCTTAAAGCCTTCAAAGTTCTGCCCGGCAAAGTGCTTCTCTCTACCTAGAAACCCACCTGTTGGGCTGGCGGATGCCAACACGCGGCCCCCAAAGATCAAACCAGACCATCAATGGAACACTTCAGGATTAATTCCACAATCACCCTTCCTCCTCCTCCTCCTCCTCCATCATCATGTCTTTCTTCCTTTTCCATTATCCCCACCAATGGTCCCTCTAAGCTGTGGAGTCTTGTGAGCAAAAATTCTACTTTGGGAGCTCCTGGCATTAAAGTTGTGAGCGAGCGATTGGGCTGCTATAGAAATCAGTTTGCTCTGGAGCCATCCTTCCTGAGCTAAGGCAAAAATGTGTGAGCTGGTGGCTAAAAAACTGTGAGCCAGCTCACACTAACTCAGCTTAGAGGGAACACGGATCCCCACCCCTCTTTCTAAGAAGCATTACCTGGTTCCCTCTAACACTAGATTTTCTTGCTAAACGACTCAATCCCAGGCATCTGACCAAAGGAGCCAGTTTGGAGTGGTGGTTAGGAGTGCAGACTCTAATCTGGGAGAACCGGGTTTGATTCCCCACTCCTCCTCTACATGCAGCTGCTGGGGTGACCTTGGGTCAGTCACAAGTTCTCTCAGAGCTGTTCTGGAAAGAGCAGTCCTCGAAAGAGCTCTCTCAGCCCCACCTGCCTCACAGGGTGTCTGCTGTGGGGAGGGGAATGGAAAAGGAGACTGTGAGCCTCTCTGAGATTCCTTCGGGTAGTGAAGGCTGGGGTTTAAAACCAACTGTCCTTCTCCTTCTCCTCCAGTTTGGTGTAGTGGTTACGAGTGCAGACTCTAATCTGGGAGAACCAGGTTTGTATAGGAACTCTCGGTCTGGGGCAAGGGATGTTCTGTCTTCTTGGTGCTTGGGGGGGTGTCAACAGTGGGAGGGCTCCTGGTGTCCTGGCCCCACTGCTGGACCTCCTGATGGCACCTGGTATTTTTGGTCACTGTGTGACAGAGTGTTGGACTGGATGGGCCTTTGGCCTGATCCAACATTGGCGTCTCTTATTTTCTTATGTACTTATGATTAAACAGTTGGTAAAACCTGTGAATAGCAGCAAATTAGCACACAGATGATAAAAGAATTAACAAACCGATGCAAGATCCGAGTGACTTAAGCACGTGTAGTGAGATAAGAACTTGATATCTCTGTTAAGCCCTGGGGGTTCCACTGTCCTGGTTAGTACCGCACAGAAGGCAGCAAAGGTAAACCTCTTCGGACCAACCCTTACCTTGAAAAACCCTATGATGAGAACAATTCAAAACAAAAAATGGAACATTTTGGAGGGCATCAATTCGCAGGGTCGCCCTCAGTTGGAAGCAACTGGATGGCATCACACACCCTCTCTAAGCGGCTCCTGGACTCAAATTTAGCTCTTCTGCTGGAGACGAGCATGGTATTAAACTCGGGCCTCGTTTGCCATGAGTTTCTTAACTGTCAGTCTGTCTTTGGTTCTGCATGCTTATTGTCCCGTTTCCTTCTGGCTGGGGGGGGACATGTGAGTGTGCGTGTGTGGAACTGCTTTGCTGGGAGTTGCGCTGGCTTGTAACTGCGTCTATGCGTGGCCTCCCTTCCATGGGAAGAATGCGTGCTTGACCTTGAGTACCAGACGCTGCTAGATAATGTAACCCTATGCTTGCAGGTGCTGGAAGAGGGCTAAGGGTGCACGGTAGATTTTGGCGGGCTGGATGTATTGGTGTGATTGGACTGGTCATAAGGGGGGGCTGTTTGAATTATGTATAATACGGGAACTGGCTCCAAGGGAGTCAGTTTTGACACAGATCCCCTACGCTTGAGACCTCTCTGTCTCTCAATAAACAAATCGCTGCCAAGAGAGTGTGGCCGGGAGCGAGTTTCTTCAAGACCTGACACATGGCTGGCCCTCTAAAACAAACTTGCTAAATGACTGGTTCTCTGGAAATACAGGATCACATCCCTGCCCTTTAGCTGAATTAACGGGTAGAAACTTCGGGCCTCCTTGGCTCTAATAGTGGCCCGAAAGCAAACTACCCTACGGCAAACAGCTGCAGAATATCCACACTCTGCCTTAATCCTGTCTGATCCTGCTACTGTATTATGCCCCTGGCTACTACTAGGAGCTGCGGTGGCTCAAGTGGTTAAGACGCTGAACTGCAGGCTGCGAAAGGTCAGTAGTTCAGCAGTTCGAGACCCGAGTGTGCCGCATGACGGAGCGAGCTCCCGTCTCTAGTTCCAGCTCCTGCCCACCTAGCAGTACGAAAGCAAGAAATTGCAAGTAGATAAATAGGTACCACTTCGGTGGGAAGGGAACAGCGTTCGGATTCGAATGGCTTTCGAGCAAGGGAACCTTTACCTTTACCTTACTAGTTGGGGAGGGCTGCTTGCCTTCGTGCCCTGTTGGTTCCCAGAGTATTACTGAGATCAGAATGCTGGGCTCAAGGGATCCACCATGTGGTGATCCAGTCAGGCTCTTCTTAGGCCCTAAATCCTCCCAGTGATACCATGGGGTGA